ACACCGAAACACCCCAATATACACTGAAACACACTCTGAAACACTCCAAAACACTCAGAACACCCTAAACATTGTGAACCACTCTGAAAAGCACTGAAACATCCTATAACACTCTTAAAATGCACCAAAACAGACCTATACACTCTGAAACACCCCAATATACTCGCTAAAACACACTCTGAAACACCCCAAAACACACCAAAACACCCAGAACACCCCAAAACACACTGAAGCACCCCGAAATACTCCAAAAAAACAACTATAAAACACCCTAAAATACCCATAAACAGCCCAAAACACTCAGAACACCCTAAACACTGTGAACCACTCTGAGAAGCACTGAAACATCCTATAACACTCTAAAAATGCACCAAAACAGACCTGTACACTCTGAAACACCCCAATATACTCTCTGAAACACTCGGTAAACACCCTGAAATGCACCAAATCACCAGATTATACTACCTGAAATGGCACAAAACCAACTGAAACACACCCCAAACACCACAATATAACTCTGAGACACACCAAAATACTCTCTGAAATGCCCCAAAACATGCTGAAGCGCTGGGAAGCTGAACACCTCCACACTGCTTTCCTGCATGGAAACTGTGTAATGTGGTGATTATGTTCTGTTCCTGCTGTTCATTGTTTGACTGTCGACTGTTTGCTGGTGGTTTAGCAACTCTTGCTCTGATGTCGGGAGATGTGAGTCAGATGTGTGGGTTTTCCTGACATCTATTCTACAGAAGTTCTACACATTCGCCAGGGTTAAATACATGTCATTTTTATAATTCAGTTTTTTCCTTCTGCTTAAGTGTGTCTATAATGCCACACATGGACCAGGAGTGTTTTTGTTCATGAATGATCTCTTATTTCCTCTCATGTGTGTGTGTTGTGTTCAGAGGTAAAGGTGATACTCCAGAGGCTCGAGCTCTGGCTAAGCAGATCGCCACGGCTCTGCAGAACCTGCAGTCTAAAACCAGTAAAGCGGTGGCAAACACTCGACCGGCCAAAGCAGCCGTTCATCTGGCCGGAAAGATGGAGCAGGCCGGCCGCTGGATTGACAACCCCACGCTGGACGACAGTGGCGTCGGTGAGAGAGATGCACACATCACACTCTCTTCTACACCCGCTGATAACATCAGCTTTCACTGATTAGATAACAAGAGGATGACAAATTGGAGCGGTTTATTGCCTCCAGATGTTGTGGGAACACATCACACACTGAACTGCAGTTGTGGTGGAGTTGCTCATCTGCTGACTGGGATTTGGTTTTGTTTGGTGATCTTTGAAGGGGCAAATAAATGTTAAAAGCTATAATAAATATATTATTTATATATTAATGTATGAATTGGACAGCAGTGGTTTGTTTCTGTAGCCTAAAATCTTTAGGGGTTAATGATATTGACAAATAAATTTTTATTTTATTTCAGCCAAGCTAAATTGTTAATTAATTTATTTAAAAAAAAACTGTTTTTAATGTACATTATTGTAACTTTGATTTATTTATTAATTTTAATTATTATTTGAAATCATCAGTTTTATTGATTTAGGAAGTTGTTATTATGTAATATGTATTTAACTGTATTGATCCCGCCATGATATAACATTAAGTTGCTGATGTGGCAATAATCAAACAAATAAACAAACAAAAACCAGGCCTAAATATATATATATATATTCCATCCATTCATCCATTTATTTAGGAAGTTCATCCATCCATCCATCATGCTATATATCCATCATTCCATCCATTTATCCATCATTCCATATGACAATCAATCCATCCATCCATCCATCCATCCTATATATCCATCTTTGTATATATCTATCATTCCATCCATCCATGCATCCATCCTATATATCCATCCATCCTATATATCCATCATTCTATATATCTATCATTTCATCCATCCATCCTATATCCATCCATCCATCCATCCTATATATCCATTATTCTATATATCTATCATTTCATTCATCCATCCATCCATCCATCCATCCATCCTATATATATCCATCCATCCATCCTATATATCCATCATTCTATATATCTATCATTTCATCCATCCATCCTATATATCCATCCATCCATCCTATATATCAATTATTCTATATATCTATCATTTCATCCATCCATCCATCCTATATATCCATCCATCCATCCTATATATCCATCATTCTATATATCTATCATTCCATCCATCCATAAATCCATCCATCCAATCATCCATCCTATATATCCATCATACTATATATCCATCCATCCATCCATCCATCCATCCATCCATCCATCCATCATTGTATATATCCATCTATCCATCCATCCATCTGTTATTCTATATATCTATTATTCCATCCATCCATCCATCCATCCATCCATCCATCCATCCATCCATCCATCCATCCATCCATCCATCCATCCATCCATCCATCCATCCATCCATCCATCCATCCATCCATCCATCCATTCATCCATTCATTCATCCATCCGTTA